GAAATCCCTCAAGGTGAGAAGCTAATTCATCTAATCTTTTCTCAATCCTATCAAAACGATCGAAAGTTATATTATCTAACTTTTCTATAGCTAATTCCCAAGATAGCTTTGATTCAAGTTGACCACAATTGGGTTGGTATTCATAAAAGTATGAAGAATTACCATAAGCACATTGATTATTCCAACCTAGATCATGAGAGTTACCCCAACCATAGTTACTTTGATTAAAATGAGAATTATAATGCTGATATTCATCATTGTACCCCAAATTTTGTGCTTGCATGCATTCATAAGTAACATGATAATCGCTACACAAGTCACAAGTTACATGATAAGAATTATAAGCATTATTATCCCAGATTTCCTCAATGAAATTCATACCTCCAAAAGGACTTCCTTGGTTACCTTCATGATTGAAATATGGCAAGTAAGATCCATTGCCAAACATCATTCTCCCAAGCTATTGTTCCTCAAAAAAAAAAAATTTAGTTTTTTTTTATTTTTTATTTTTGGATATACACAATAAAAAAATGTTTAGACTAATAAAACTCAGTTTTCCTCTAATATTGCCTTGCTCCCCGGCAACGGCGCCAAAAACTTGACCGAATTTTTATATCAATGCAAGTTTAAATCCGATTTAACACCCGTTGGACTGCAAGTATACAGGTCGAAATTGTAATACAAGGTGTGTATCGGGTCAATCCTACGATGAGCAAATTAACCAATTACTAGGTCCTTATTTTCTCTATTATTTAGACTATTGAATGAATTTGAGCAAAGAAATGTAATACAAGTGTCTACAAATCTGATCTGCAATTCTATTTTAACAAATGCTAAATGCAAATGGAGAAATTTCACTCAAGAAAGAATCTAGGGATATAGATTCCACTTATGGCATAAACAATACAAACGAATGGATTTACTTCTTGTTATTATTTTTGTTTAACCAGAGATTCATTTCCAAAATTACCAAGTCTCATTTTCATGATGAAATGGCCTAGAGCAATATAGTTTTCCCTATTTTCATGGTGAAATACTACTACTACTCTGTTTTATTTCATGAAATGTTAAATAATCCATCTAAGTGTATCTCTATTTTTATGAACATACAACTTAAGCTCTACTCATGTGTTTCCATTGTTACTACCAATTCTCATTGAATAATAACAACTATAAACATACTATTGGTGATCAATCAATAACAATTAATCACAGCATCAAAAGTAGACAAGTTAATACAAGATATAACAAGTGTAAATCTCATTCAATTCATATTATTTAGCCATAAGTTTCATCTACTCCCTAGATAAAGAATTTAGCTACTCATGAATGATTTAACAATCAAACTCACAAGTTTATTAATGCCAAACATCATAAAGTACAAGTATAAGAAAGATAAAAGAAAGCTTAGCCAATTGAAGGTGAAGCTCTCCAATTCCTACTTTACTCTTGCACAATGTGATTACAAGTGAAAACTCCAAATGCTTCTCCAAGAACTCTTAACTAGAGAGAAAGTTGTTACAAGATGAAAAACTAGCTACGTATGGTCATTCCTTTGCTCTTCCCTTGTGTTTCTACATAAAAGGTGGTAGAAAGGTAATAATTTCTCCTTCATGATTTCAACCACTTAGATTTTGTAAAGGAAGTCAAAAGATATATTTTTTTGACTTTTCAATAACTCATTTTGTCTTCCTTTTTGTTGCAGAAGCATGTGCCACCGAATTCACTCACTCCAAATAGCTGAAAAGTTGTGTGAAAAGTGAGAAAAAATGGTTGTGCCACTTGCAGGAGAGAGAAGCAGATCCGAGTCTCGGATCCGATGAGTGAAAATGGATCCATGCTCGAATCTTCAGGATCCGAGGAGTTCTCATAATGGATCCGAGGTCGGATCGTCCTGTCCTCGGATACACTCCTCCATAAGTACAGACGAGGGCTCGGATCTCTCTTGTTCACACGAATCCGAGCTCGGATCCGTGTCCTTCTAATTTTCAGTTTTTCACTTCTTTCATTTTTCTACATTTTTGCTCCCAATTTCTTTTGTACTTTGTCCTTTGGACGATCCTTACATTTCTTTCATCTCGTGCATGAATTTCATACATCAATAACCTTCATAATTTCACAAAATTAACGCATTAATCTACTCATTTATCAAGTTTTGAACATTTAAACAATATTTAAGCAATTATCACCAAAAGAGTTCAAATATGACTTTAATCTTCTCAAAACATATCAAAAATTCATGCCAAATTTGTACAAAATGTACGTTAAATATTCACTTATCATATACTGCCCAAATTTATTGTATTTGTTATAGGGTCTGTCTAATTCAAGTGTCTTAGTTTTTAAAATGTGTAAAATTAATCAAGGAACGTACATAAGTAAAAGGGATGATAAGTATGTAAGGTTAAATAGGAAAAATATATAAATGCAAAGAAGATTAATAATTGTTAGTATGTATATATACATGATAAATTAAGTGAATTTTAGATGCATTAGTACCCAATGAACACCTATTAGAAAAATCCTTTGTTATATTATGTGTCTACAATCGTTGTATTAGATTTACATCTTTCATTGGATATGTTTTTACCTAATTTGTATAATTTACCTTAAATAGACTAGATTTTCTATCTTTACGGATATTGTATACTTATAAAAATATTGTAGATGACGAGCACGGGATATAAATATACAATTAGCTCATCCACAGTCTAGTTTTATATTTATAATATCTTAAATATCCCACACGCGATTTTTCACAAGTGTTCAAGTCGAGAGCGAGTATAGAGTATTAAGAGTCAAACCCACAGGGAAGATTTTCAATTACCGGTGATTTTCGAACTCCTTTATTATTTAGACTATTACAAGTGCAAGAAATTAACTCTACACTATAAACATGAAGTAAAAATAATAAAAATAACACTACAAAACTCATAGAGGTAAGAATTCCTTACTACTCTTGCAAATAAAATTACTATTTTAGTGAATGTTATTATCATGGTTAGTCATGATGTAATTTCCTAATGTATGTGAAACCTACTTTCGTAGTGAATCAACTATACTTGTAATTAAGTCATACTTATTCTCGTGGTTATTAAATTAAGTACAAACTCATTTCTTTTATGAAATTACATAAAACAAGCTACCTAAGTCACAAAGGTGCGTCTCTACTCTCGTGAGTGTATTCCCTAGATTTATGACTTCCTTGAACTAGTGTTAAACTTCAATTCTCATTACAAACTTGACATATTTAGATAATCACAACTAATGGCCGGTTAATCATGATTAGAAAAGTAAAAGTAATAAATAACTTGTTCAAAATAATATCATCAAATAACCAAGTAAACATCACTAACAAGATATAGAAAGTTCATCCATAACTCTGGACATAAACTTTAACTAAACATGAAGAAAAACAAAGTCAAACTTATATTATAGTTAAACATGAAATCAAATACAAAAGAGAAAGTGATAGGAGACAAATCACCCTTGTCATATGAGTTTCAAACTCTCCATCTTTGCTCTTCAAATTTTCATCCAAATCTAACTACAAATATAAGAAGGATAAACTACACTAACTAAACTATACTACCCCAACTAATGAACCAAGAAAATTCTAGTGAAAACTACATTTTTGGTGAGTTTCTCTAGCCTTCCAAAGTTTTTAAAATGTTCCTCCAAGGTTACTATTTATAGAAAATTCAAACTCAAGGTGAGTTATTTTTTGGTTGGCAAAGTTGATTTTTGAACTCACCAAGAGTAGGAAAAATTCACTTTTCATCCTCAAACTTTGTCACGAAGACACATTTAGTCCCCAAACTTTTCGTCAGAACACATTGAATACATGAATTAACGATTTTTTATCACATTTAGTCAAAAAATGGGAAATTACTCAATTTGGACGGAGAAGACCACGTGGCCGTTAACAAAAGTCCAAATATCTGTGAAAACCAACACAAAATAGACTAAAGTCCACATTTGTACTCTCTCTCTAATCCGCTACTTTTCTTCTCCAAGTTTCCCCCTTTCTTACTGGTTGAAATATTTTCATCCTCAGAGTGGTGTTGTCCAGTTCAGTGATTGAAGACCACAGAGCGTGGAGAAAATGTCTGTTCGGAAGAAAGAACTCAACGATCGTGCACCCCCAAATTACGGTAAAATTTCTAGGGTATTTAGATAAAGAGTTAAATGTAAAAATTTTTAACTTTTGTGAGTATAATATTTAGATATGGTCCCTGAGGTTTGCATTGTGGGTATATTCTGGTTACTTTGAGTTGTATTGGGTTGAAAAGGTTAATTATTTCTAATCTGATTGTCCGAGCTGACAATGTTTGAATAATATGCATGTGGTCCTTATTTGTGATTATGATATTAAGATGGGTCCATAAGATGTGGTCCTTATTTGTGATTATGACATTTATGCATTATTGAGTGCATTGTTGTTAATGTTAATGTATGCCTTGTTGATTATTGAATGATTGATATGTGCGTTTTTTTTTATCAAAACAAGGCATCACACTTATAACTCTAAAGTGTCACCATGGAGGGTTAATTTCCTACACTCCTCATCCACGTTATAAGGGTGGAAATGTTTGTGTCATTGACTATGCTGAAAGCATAGGTTTAAGTGTCTTTGAAGTAGATAGATTAATTGAAAATGCTGGTTTGTATGGACACAAAGTGTATTATGGTTGGAAAAATAGCAATTTTATAAGGATAGAAACCAGTAGACAATTGCATGGATATATTAAGAGGAATAGTGGTTTAAATAGGAAAATTATTTTTTATGTTGAGGTCTCATTCCATGAAATCTTTGTTCAACAGTTAGGCTATGATCCGTATCAGATTGGTGAGAATGAAAGGGCTATAATGACAATTTTAATACACCTAATGCTGACCGTAGAAGGGGAGGGAATGACAATGAGGCTAATAGGAACAATAATAATGATTCTGATTCAGGGAGTGAATTCTTCTTCTCAACAGTGGACTCTGATTATAATATGACTAATAGTGATGATAATGAGTTGCACGACAATGTAGATAAAAATGCTAAATGGTTTGGTGTAGAGCACTACAAGAATTTTCAGAAAAATAAGCCAACTGAAATTGAAAGGGACGACAATTTGGTGATGCCAGAGGACAATGATGTTGCCCCATCTTCTGAATCTGATTTTGAAACTGTGAATGAACATGATGATGAAAAAACTAACAATGAATGTACAGTCTTCAACCCTAAAGATATTGACAATCCAAAATTAGAGTTAAAAATGTTGTTCAGTATTATAAAGGAATGCAAGTTGGCTATCACAAATTATAGAATAAGACAAGGTAGACCATGTAAATTTGTGAAGCAGGACAAAATAAGATTGAGAACTAAGTGTAGAAGTGAATGGTATGACTGGCTTATTTATGCTGGAAAATTGAGTGGGAAAAGTAGTGTGCAAATCAAGACATTTGAGAACACCCACAAATATGGTTTCACCTATGACAATCCACTTGTAAATTCTGAATGGGTTGACAGAAAGTATACTGAGGAGTTTAGAACTAATCCTAAAGTAGATATGGAGTACTTTAGAAAGACTGTAATGAAGGATAATAAGTGCTTTTTCTCCAAAAAACAAACATACAGGGCCAGGAGAAAGTCTATGAAGATTATTCATGGGAGTGAAACTGACCAATATAGTAAGTTAGGAGCATACATGCATGAAATTCAGAAATCCAACCCTGAAAGCTCCATTATATTGAAAACTGTGGATAGATCGACAAGTACATCAACACAGCAGCAAAGGTTCCAAAGGTTATACACTTGTTTTAATGGAGTGAAGCAAGGTTTCTTAGTTGGATGTAGGCCTTTGATTGGAGTAGATGGTACATTCTTGAAAGGGTCATGATAAGTGACCAATTTACGTTTTAATTGTATGACATTTTATATTATTTTTAGTCACTTTGGTTATATTACTGGAAGAAAATGAATCATTTTGGGTATAATTGGTGAAAAATGCGTTTAAGTAATTAAATGAGGTTTTTATCACTTTTTACTTGGATTTTGTGCATTTTCATAGTTTTGACATATTTTTACATTTTGGCTATAACTTGAGTTACAATGATCAGATTGAAATGATTCTTAAACCAATTTGAAGATAAGAAATAGATCTACAACTTTGGTGAAGACATCTGAATCCAGTTTGAAGGTTTCCAGGTCAAAAAGCCGAATTACAATAGCTAATTTCTATTGGTCAAAGCTGAAACAGGGCAGTGAGCAATCAAGAGTATTTTGGTCATTTCTCAGCCTACACAGATCTAAATGAGGTGATTCTTAATGCATTGGAAAGGTAACTCAAAGGGCTACAAGTTTTATGTTTTGGTCAAGAATTAAATCAGCTTTTATCATCAAGAAAAGTTCAGTTGAAGTTGACGCAAAATCGGAGCAGAACTGGAAATTGAACAAAAGTGCACCAAAATGTCACTATAACAATCCGGCAAGAACGTGGCCGGATTTCTGGCCAGATTGTGGTCAGAGAAGGCTGCTCTTTACGCGAAAAATTTAATTTCACCTCCACTAAGTCACATGTAATGCTAGACATGTGAGAAACATTACCAGCTGTAAAAGGGAGGTGTAAGCCTCATTTCTTGACCACCTTTCATCTTTATATAGCCAAAACTTGCAAAATTAAAGGAGAATAGAGAGACATATGGGAGAAACTTGGAGTGCAGAGATGTAACTCTTGCATTTTTTGGGTGTTAGGTTAGTTTAGCATAGAGTAAGTGTAGTTCATCCATTCTTGTATATTGGCTAGATTATGATGAAGATGTAGATGAAGAAGGAGGAGTTGAACCTCAAGTGACATGGGTTATTTCTTCTCCAACTCTTTATCTTTTGTATCAGATTCTTAAGTATAGTTAATATGCAAATTCTAGATTTTGTGTTCAATATGTGTCTCTAAAGTTTATACCTTGGGTTTGGTTAAACTTTCTATAATTGTTAGTGTTTATTATTTGGTTATTTGATTGCTATGATTTGAGCAAGTTATTTAGCACTTTGGCTCTTTAAATCATGATTAATCTGCGTACCATTGATTGTGATTATGTAAGGTGTTGTTTTTGCAATGAAAATTGAGATTTAACACTAGTTCAAGAAGTGCTAAACATAGGGAGTACACTCACGAAAGTAGAGGTGCACCTATGTGGTTTTTAGTGATTCATTTCATGTAATTTCACTGGAGAAATGAACTTGTAGCTAATTTTATAACCATGAGAATAGGTATGGATTAGTTATAAGTATAATTGATTCACTACGAAAGTAGGATTCAAATGCATAAGGAAATTACACCATAACTAGCATAGATGTAGTACTCAATGATCCATATAGCACTTGCATGAGTAGTTAGGGATACCACAACCTAAGGAGTTTTCATTTGTTATTTTCTTGCATAAGTTCAATAGGTTTTACTTGTTATAATTCATTGATAGTCTAAATAATAGAGAATTTTTGGCGCCGTTGCCGGGAAAGATTTGGCAATATCTGTGTGAAGAACAACTTTATTAATTTAGATATTTCATTAGTTATAGTGTGAATGTTATTTTCTGTTATTTTAGTGTTTTATTAGTGTATGTGTTTTATCACCTATTTTTCTTACTAATTTTGCTCTTAAAAATAATTTTAGGTAATGAAGAGGGTAAGTCAATTTGGAGGACAATGCTTGAGAAATGGAAGATTGGCAATGGATGGTTACCAAGTGCAAAGCTTCTTCAACAGAGGTAACCAAGAATTTACTGAATGTATGTCTGTTAAAGATGGTTTAAGGTGCTTAAAGGCTAAATTTGATGTTATGATGCTACAAGTTCAAATGGATACAATTATGCATGAAATTGAGTAGGGGAGGAATGTTAATATTTTTAATTCTTATCATGTGATTTGTGACTTGTGTGGAGGTTATCATGCTACTAACACATGTATACAAGTACAAAATGTGGATTATTATGATGAATTAGAGTATTACAATCCTTGTTTTGATCAATATAGTGCTAATTAGAGCAATTCTCCTGCTTATTGTTGGAATAATCAATGTACATATAGTGATTATCCATATTTTTATGATTACCAATCTGCAAGTGTCCAATATGAATCAAAACCATCTTGGGAGTTGGCAATAGAGAAGTTAGCTAATGCACCTCTACCTTGGGAGTTAGAAAGTGAACCATTAGCTAATATTCTAATGCATCTTGGGAGCTAGCTGTAGAAAATATTTCTAATCAATTTGATTTAGCAATAGAAAAGCTAGCAAATGCAACTTCCGACCGTTTTGATAGGATTGAAGAAAGAATAGATGAATTAACTTCTCACTTTGATAGAATACATGAGCAATTGAATACATTGTGTGAAGTTATTTCCTCTAATAATTTGCAAAATGATCCTAACATGAATGGTGGGAATGTTGTATGTGAAAATGGGTTGCATTTTGATGAAAATGATGAATATCAAGTGTGTTTTAATGAGCAAATATCCATTTCACATGGTAATATCTTTGGAACTAACTTTGAGCCTCAAGTGATGAGTTTTAATGACTCATTTTTCACCCCTCTTGAGGAGTGTATTAAAAGTACAGGATTTAAAGGTATTCCTGCCCAAGATACTCTCATGGCATTTCCTTTGGTAAGTTCTCAAGTGGTGCATACTCAAGGTAATATCTATGAAACACTTGGAATAGATAAGTCACTTCCATTTTTCACATCATTAGATCATGTGGCTTTTGCTATAAAGTTACCATTTAATGATCCACCACGGCCTAAAATGGTGGATTATTCTTTAACTAAAACTCCTTGAAAAATGAGGTGAAATAGTCAAGCTAATGACTATAAAGAAGCGTTTGTTGGGAGGCAACCCAGCGATTTCTTGTTTTAGTAAGTTTTAGTTGTTTAACTAGTGTTTTTGTGTGTTTAGTAGATGGTAATGACAAGAGTTCATGCAAATGATCTCAATGACAAAAGTGTCAATATTGAGGCAAAAAGGAAGTTTTCATATTCAATTGATGCATTTCATGCATTTAAAGTGTTTCATGTTAAACTTATATTCATGCATGATCATGTATTTTCAAGTGTATTTGGTTTAGAAAGACACATTTTCAATGTTAAACTTGAATTTTATTCAATAAACATGAAAGTAGGTGGAATGCGGAAGGTTGGCCAAGCAAATTTGGAGGAAAAACTGCAGAAAATAGCTTTTTTTGCAGTAAATCTGGCCATAAATCCGGCCAAATATTGGCCGAATTGAAAGCCGGATAGTCAGCGGAGAAAGAAAAAAATTTTTGGGCTCACTGGCCGGATAGTAAAAAAAAATTTAAAAAATAAAAAAAATTTACTGTAACAATCCGACCAAGAATCCAGCCGAAAATCTGGCCAGAAAATGGTAGGATATGCAACAGCAAAAAAAAAAAAAAAAAACTGCCCAGAATTCCTCCAGCAATCCCTCCATGAATTCCTCCAATTTCTGGCCGGATTATGAACAGTAACCAGCGTAAGATGAATCTGTTTCACGAATTCCTCACAATTTTTCTCCCTTTTTTTTCAACCCAACTCATACACTAACACCTCATACACACACCACTCACTAAAACACCACTTTTTACCATTTAATCTTCAAATAACCTTCACCAAATCACTTTCTCCCATCCTCTAGAGTGAATTTCATAGTTCATATTCTTTTAAAAACAACTCTAAAGTGGTTTCAAACTTGCCATTAGTTAGGGTTCTACCTTCTTGAAATCACTCAATTGAAGTCAAATTGGAGTAAGTTTCTTGAGGGTTTTCACATCATATTCATCACTTAACATCACCAAACCAATTTGAGGTAACAATTCTTTACCTAACTTTGTTATTTGAATTTTGCCATGATTGAATATTTTCTATTTTTAGGCAATTTTTAAATGTGAAGTTAGGTGTATTTATTTGAGCTTATTGATGCTATTGGTGATTGTTAGTGATAAATAAATTTTGTGATTTGCATTTATTGTATTTATTTGGTGAATTATTGCTAGTTTTATGCTTAATTTGGCTTGGTAACAAAGTTGCATATTAAGTAGCCAAATGTAGCATTTTAATTAGCTTAGTGGGAGTTTTTGATATTCATGTGAGTAATTTAGATTACCTAATGAATGAAAAGGTATTTGCTTGAATGATTTCTTGAATTCTTAAGTAATTCTAAAAGAAGAAGTGAATTGAAGATGGTCTCAATTTATGAAATTCATAAATGCACTTATAATCTCTGTGGTTCAATGATTTTTAGTATTTCATGAGTTATCATGAAGGTCATTTATATTTTAGTTTGGTGTGTTTGCCTCCATTTTGAGATTACTTTTGTACTTGAGAGGACTTGATCATTGATGACAAAATATATAAATGGAACTTATTTTGTTCATGATTGTGGATTTATTGTGTGAAATTAGCTTCCCTTTGCTTTGGATACTAATGCATATATTTGATTAGCAAAGATTAGTTCATTTCATGTTTTATCCCATGAATATTGTATGGTTCCACATGCTTGATCATTTTTCCTTTTTCCTTGAATTGCATGTTTTTGTTGATTGCAACCTTTTATTTTTAAGAAGTTGATTTGTTTTGATTTTGTCTTTTTTCAAGGTACAATAATTAAACTCTCCATTCTTTCCCAAATAAGGTTGAAAATTCATCACTTGGCCATGAATTTGGACTGCGCAAGTTCATATGAGTATTATTTTCTTTTACTCTTTATTTATTTTTCTTTTCTCACATTGAGGACAATATGAAGCTTAAGTGTGGGGGAGGAAATATTTGAACTTGCAAATACTTTCTATGTGATGATATTTTGTAAATTTAAATGCTTAGAAATATTAGAATTGTGTTTGAATTATTTGCC